TATGTTTATTGTCGCTTATCGCTCGCTAGCCAAAGGGGGCGTGGCTCCAGGGGGCACGGTGGGCTGTGGGCGGAGGGGGGCGTGTCATTAGAGTCACGGCGCCAAGATGAAAAAGAGTAAACACGGCTATGAAATAACGTTAACAACTCTCTTGGGGGAAAAGGGAGCCTAACAAAACGCATTACACACACAATCTTTCAGTCTGTATCAGCGTGTGTGAGAGTGTGTAACTTTATTAGCCGTCTCCCCTGTGGTGTGTGTGTGGGGGTGACAGTATGCGGGTATGGGGGTGTGCCGGTGTGTGTTACCTTGTCAAAATTATGAAAACGACAGGGGATCTCGTTCGCATCCGCACCTGCCCGCGAAATTAGTTTGCTTATCAGATTTTTGCACACAGAGATTATGAACATTTTTTGTGGATATTTTTATCGAAAGGATCACAGCCAATATTTGGGAGAAAGAACTCAATGTCAATATATTTTATGATTAATTTAAATAAATATCGAATTTTAACAGCAATAGAACCACACCGAAATTGTGGTCCAAAAAATAAATTTGTGTAATCAAAACACAAAAAGTTCTCAAAGGTTTACTTATCATAAACAATAAGTATACTTTTTGAATTTTATTTGAAAGTTATCTATGAAATTATTATTAAAGTGTTGTTGATAAAAAATAATACGACCACAGTGAAGAAACACCAAATAGATAAAATTCGAATATACAATTTGTAAGGCCAAACCAAACTCTTTTCTAAAAGAAACTTTCAATTACCTGATGCATAATTCCGATGCAAAATTCCTTGGTTCACATGAAATATGCCATTTCGGGCAAGCGGATATCCCAGTTTTCTTTCATATTTTTGCAAATGATGCCAAGGAATCTCGGAACGCGTTCGCACCTCGCCAGGGTCATTTAAATGCAGATTGCAATGAGCAGTCTGTCCACTTGAGAGCCGGCATTTGCATAATGGCGGCGACACATTGCAGCGGAACCGGAAACCCGAAGTCGAACCTGAAACTTCTCCTCGACGGGGGAAAACGGGAAAAGCGAAAAGGGAAAAGGGATGGGGAAAGGGAAATCGTGGCAGTTGCAGGTGCTCGGTCGTGTTTATGACTACTTGAGATTGCAGGGTTGTCGTCGGGGTTGTCGTCGCCGCTGTCGTTACCAAACGGAAGCCATCGGGCATTTTGGGGCCCAGTAGCAAATGCTTCTCATTTGAATGCAACTGCCATAAATAAGCTTGGGCTTTGAACTAAAGCAAGTGCGAAAATGCCTCCAGAAAAGTGCAATAAAAGTAACAAAAAATATTTTATAACTGCAGCTATAAACATATAAAAAAAACCAATGGTTACTGTTTGCTTACACTTACAATATTTTAATTATTTTATTATGCTTTATATTGCCATACATTTTTGGAATTACGTACAACATTGTTAGATTTCGTTTCCAAGCTGATACTAAAAAAAAAATTTTTTCAATATATTTTAGGACTGAACAAAATATATTAAAAGGAATGTTAGCCCTGCAGTTAATAATGTATGCGTACACATAAAATATAAGCGTTTAATTATACATTTTACAACGTCAATTTATTGATTTCATCTTAAGACATACTAGTAAGTTTTATTCACAATAAAAGAGCAATGTACTTTACCATATACATTTTCTTTAAAACTTAAATTCAAAATTCAGTGACATATCTAAGGGCAGATCCAGAGATTGGACCAACTAATTTTATTCCACCTCGACGTAAAATTTTTGGTAAACGTTGATGTTTTTATTATTCTTTAAAAATGCACAGTTTTTGGAACTGAAATAAAATTTCTCTCTGGTCAAAGTTCAATTTTGGAATTTCCCGAAATATTTTCACCTTGCAGTGGTCCATGGACCTCTGGCCTCCTTCCCCATTTGCCACTGTTGGTGGAATGTTTATGTTGCCGCATCGCACGGAGGAAAGGGCACGCACGGAACTCTTCGACCCCAACGACCAAACGCAACACACACATGTGATGGTGGCGAAAGGTGCAGCTGTGACTTTGGGAGGGGTAGTTGGGTGATAAGTGGGAGTTACAAGGGTGGAGGTTGGTAAGTGGGTGGTGCTTGGGCGGTGGTGTCAACCAGTTCCATTTATTGTGGGACGAGGAGTCTGGCAGCAGCTGGAATGCCTCCTCGGTCACTTAAACAAATTGTAAAGCATTTGTTTTTTAGTTTCTACAAGTGCATTTATGAGAAAATCTTTTGTACTTAAATGTTGTACAGGTTAAAAGATTTTCTTATTAAAAAACCGCACAGAAATCATACATTGGTTACTATTGATTGCAAATTTACAAACACAATATTTAAATTATAAAATAATCTACATAGAACTAGATAATAATGTTAAGTAATATAAGGTTGAATAAATAGTGAAAACAAATTAAAATAGTTAGTTCGAAACATTAAGAAAAGATAAACATAATAAATTGAAAATTGATAAATTTTAATTTAATTTTTATTTTTTTTTAATTTTTTAATATGTTTAGTCCTTTTTTCGATTTCACGGTAAACAAAAAGATTTAAGCTGTCAAAATTTTAACAATTATTTACAAGACAATTTTTGTACACGATTTTCTTGTATTTTTTGTTTATCAGTATAACATTTAATTTCACAAAATGATTTGATAAATATATATACAATAATCAATTAATTCGTAGTACTTTTCTACAATCATTTATTTTATCAGCTCCCAAAATGTCTAAAGCTTCATCAATTGAAGCAAAAAGGACTTAAAAAGCCAGCGATTGCTAGAAGCATTAAAGATTTTAACGAGAATGAAATCAAAAATATATATTTTTCTCACCCCCATTTTTTTGTAGTGTTGAAATTGGTTCCGGCTGAGCTTTTGTTGCTGGTGTGGCATAAATATCGTTGCGGTTGCACGTGAAAATTGCATTTGGCCAGCAGCATTTGGCTGCTGTTCGGATAGTTCCACTTGAAGCGGAGTGGAGGACATCGAGTGGGCGGTGGCGAAAGTTGTGGTGCTGCGCCCTTACACGCTGTGCAAATTGTGGACTTAAATGTTTATAACGCACCACCCAGAAACCACCGCCCAACACCCGACCACCGAACACCGCCCAACTCTAGACCATTTTCGGCGTTTGTTTATTAAGCTTTTCTGGCGGAGGAAATAGAAAACGAAAAAAAAGGTGTTGAATGCCACTTGCTGGGGCTGCTTTTTATTGCCATCGCACATCTAAGTGCAGCAGCTGTAAAATAAATATATATTTTTATTTTATCCCCCCAAGCCCTGGCCAATTTCTTTTGCTTTTATTTGTTGTAGTTGGGGGAGGATATAAATTAAACGCATTAGAGTAGGAAACCGCAGCGATTTTCCTTTACTTTTTTTCCACCGGCATTAATTCGCTTTTGCAACCGACAAAGGCACTTAACGTCCTCACTCCCTTTTTTCGCCCCTCTCTTTCTGTATATCTATGCCCCGTCTCTTTCGATACGAAGTGTATACAAAATTTAAATAAGAAACAAATCGAAGTAATGGCCAAGTCCCCGCACACCTCTTCGATTTCTAGGTAGTAAATACCAAATGCTCAAATGCTGTAAATGGCAATCGAGAAAAAAGCTGGAAAAGCTGGAGAAATGAGAAATTCCGATTCACATAATGAAAAAATAAAGGAAACCGAAACTCTATTGAAATGAAATTCATTGAAGCATTTTTTTGGCTTGGCAAATAAAAGGTAAAAAAGGGAATTAATGACACGATACTGTTGCTTATCAAACACGTTTTTACCTGTCAACAATATTATTCAAATGTAATTGAAAGGCAGGTGAAAATTAAAAAAAAAAACAGTACAAAAGAGCATAAAGTTATTTAAAACAAAGGACAAATCATAAAGGGATTTTTACGATTAACAAAAAGCTGTGAATAATATAAATGTTTATTACTATCCATATAAATTAAAAGGAAATAAAACATTACCTGCAGTTGTTCCATCACATTCAATGTCAAAATCTATATATTTTTATTACAGTTATTGAAAGTAAGCCAGCAAATACATCGAGAAAATAAACTCCGTTTTTTTTCGAGCTACTGATTCGATAACGTTGATAGCCCCCGAGAGTCGTTCGCCTGGCTTCCGTTTTAGTGGCGATGGAGCTTAGGGCCAAGCTCTTAAATAGAATGACTAACCATCTTAATCACATCACAGACAGACAGGGATATGTGCAGCAGCTGGGGGAACTAAACGCCCGCCGACATTTCGGCAGCTGCCAGTTGTTTGCCACTAAACGCTTACAACCAGCGAAAAATGCGGAAATTTTCATATAATCAAATGGCAGCCAAAAAAACGTTTTGTGGCCACGGGGCGGACGTCTTCCTTTAAGTTTTCCCACCACGACTCCCTTCTGTTAGCTTTCGTTTTGTCTTGCACTTTGCATACAAAGTACCATTAACTACTGGCATCAGTTTTTTACACAACAGCAGCAGCAGTTGTTGGCTTGGCGGTTTTTCTACAGATTTCCTTCTTTGTTTGCGGGCCGAGTAAGTGAAAGGCAAGTTGACCAAGTGGCAAGTGCTCTGACCAGTTGTACTCCATTTGGATTGAATCTGATTTGGTTTAATGTATAGAGCCACGCAACAGATTTTTATTGACATTCAATAGATTTTTTTTTAGATTCAGAACAACTACATAGAAGTTACTTAAAAACTATTAATGGTATTGCATTGGTTATATATATATTTTTTTTAAGCAAGGACAATAAAATTAATTTAAGAAATGTAAATAAAAGATATCACTCCCGTATTGCAGTATTGATGATAAAATGCCATTACCAACAAGGAAACAAAAATATTGTTAATATTTGTAGAAATCTATTTTAAGCAACAATCATCGCCTAAACTATCTATAGTTATCTTAATATTTTCGTTGTTAAGTGAACATTTGACTTGGGTATTTTATATTGGAAAAACATTTTATTCATGTTAAGTAAATAAAACTAGGACTGATATTAAAACTAATTATATTTATTTTATATAATTGTTTGGTTCAATTTTTGATACTAAAGTTCATCTCAAAATCTGTCTATAAGTTGATGGAGATACGCTCGGATTATCGATGGGATCTTTGTGGTAGTCATGCTGTCCTCCAAAGTTTTGGTGCCCATAGTAGAATCGGAATCAGGCTTTGTTGTCGTATCCTCTGAATTATTGTAAAAGAAGCAAAAGTAGATAACCAAAGCTACTATGACTAAAACACCTAAAGTGGAGAAGGCAAAAAAGCACAAACACTTGAGACCCAATTTGCAACAGCTGAAAAAGGTGATAACACTTAAAAACCATAGACATCTTGAGGCAAAAAATATAAACTTACCAACATAGAGAAGTTCCAACTAATCGACACATTATTGCTCTGTACAGAAATTTTTTCTTCACATACAAATATTTATATAAAATTTTTAAGAAAGAATTATGAGTGAAAACGCAGAGGGATACTTGGCATATGCTCGAGGGTGAAATGACATCAATTTTGTCATAACAATTCGAATACTTTGGTCATAAAAATGATAGCTACACCCCCTCCAGTTCGTAGGCATATTTTGGCTTTCAAGCAAATTATATTTTATGCCGTTTTCTTACAAAATTCGGTCTTTTATTGCCGACGGTACAGGAAGTTCGATTAAGGGTTGTAGACCTCCCTCAAATTGTCGTCGAGGGCAGCAGGAGAGTTTACAGAAATACAAAAAAAAAAAATGGAAAAAAAAGAAACATTCGAAGAAAAGTTAAAGAAGAAGGCTGGAGCAATGGTCTTTCTTGCCGCATAATCGAAATGTATTTCGGCTTTTTATTGCACAGCCAAAGGTAAGTTGGCTTCCCAAGACAAAGGAGGGGATGTGGAAGTGTGGACCTGGGTTTTTGTGCGGGGCGATAACAACATTTTAACGCCTTATGGTCCATTTTGGTAAAAGTGCCGATTACGCTCAGCTTAACCAGAAATTATGACCTCTGAGCCGGCTGGTTTGTGTGGAGGAACTTTAAGCTGAGGCAGGTCTTTGTCTTTATTTATATACGTGGAGCACCAAAACTCAAGGGATAAAGTGCGGGTTTGCATTGATTAGAAGGCTGAATATATTTAGAAAAATCAACTGAAGCTATTTTAAATGAATTTTAAAGCTATCACTGATTAGATTTTATATATGTGCCCTATTTATTTGACAGGAAATTCAATAAAAAAGTACTACCTATTGTTGAATTAGCATGTCTGATTTCGTTTTTGTAAAATTAAATTTTTTAAATGTATTTTAAAATTTTTTTTTTAACATGCAAAGCATTGAGGGCGACATTTGTACTATGATACTTCGTTGACTTTCTTTAACGATCTTGAACATTACCTTAAAACATATTAATATAAAAAATTTAAACAAAAATCAGAAATCACAAGGGCTTTATTCTATCTTCCGTAAATGCTTCAGAAAACAATAATGAGCCCTGAAAAGCTTTAGATTCATTCAGCCGCATCTAGGGCTGTTGGGAAAACTTTAGCATCAATTACTGTGCTGGTCACGGCTGTGCTTTATGTGGCAGCAACGGGGCGTATGCGCAATTTATTTGCATATGATGACCGGCATTGCGTAAAAATTAATGAAAGGCAATTAAAAGCATTCGGAGAGGCAATAATAAAATGTAGGCCAGAAACAAATAAAACGCTGCTCTTTCAAAAGTCATCCGTTCGACTCCAAAATGTCAACAGCAAATAAATATTGTTGGAAATTTGTGAAATGCACAAAATATGGCCATTATAATCGAATGATTTCATTTTGTGTTACTTTTGTAATTTAATGCTATTTGTGAGATATATTTATGCCTATGAAAATTGAATTTAATTTCAAATTGTTTGAGTTTTATTCTCCATGTTTGTGGCAGTGTTTTGTTTTTCGGTGTGTTTATATTTGCTGAAAGTTAAATTGAATTTGTTTTTGGGTGTTGCGGATTTCTTCGCAATCAATTGCCATGACAAATGCTTCTAGCGCTGTTGCTGTTGTCGCTTCTGCCTGCAGTTTGGCTTGCATTTGTCAAGTGGAAATGCTCTATTGGGGGATATGGCTTTTCTTTAAGGTTTTGATTGTTTTGAAGAAGGATCTTAAATAATGCATCTGGGTTTAGTTTTGTGTATTATTTTAATTGGGAATTCTTTGCTCTAAATATAATACCTTCTGACGAAAAATATTCCATGTGAGGCTGATAAATTTTCCTAATCATTTTACCAAGACTTATTTAAAAATTGAACTGATTCGATTTATCCTTCAGCAATTTAAATTTATTGATGATTGATGAAGAAATTGTTTTTCAAAAATAATAGCAAATATCATGTTTTATTTTTTTTCTTATTTGATTTTCAACTGTAGATATTTTATTAAGATAAAAACCTAAAAATAATTAATTAATTTAAGTTAATTTTAGCTTTGATTCATGCGGTTATATTTTAATAATTTGTCTAAAAGTGAAACAAGATCTGTAAAGGAGTTGTTGTTTTGCATAATATCCTTTAGCTATGATCAGGGTAACAGAAGTTCGTTGTGCTCACACATTCTTGTTGCAGGCTTCGGTTTTTATTCCCGGAAAAAGGAAAACGGTCTGTGGACAACTGTTCGCCGCGCTTGCGAATCTTGTGCATTATTGCGATTTTACACGCTGCTGCACTCGAAAATGAAACGGACAATAAGCTCCACTTGCCCACTGCCGGTGCTCAAGGGGCGTGGCAGCTGCGGCGGAAAATGCAGCATCCATGCAGCCATCATTGCCACTGTCCGCCGCTAAAAGCTTTTTGATTATGAAAAATGTTCGAAACATATGCTCCAAATGACTGCGAAGCGTGCGAAGGAGGAAGTTTCCCCGTTCCTTTGATGCTTTTTTCAGTGCATCAGAGAAGTATACGAATTACGTACCTAGGATATATGTGTTTTACACGTACTGAACATTGTGTAAGTAAGCATGTTTTATTTCGTTGCAGCTATGCTGGCTTTCTGCGTTCTCGTTTTCGTCCTCGTTCTCGTCCTTTTTCTTGTCCTTGTGTATTGTGTATTGTTTATTGTGGCTTTGCAGTTTTTTAGTTGCCGTTGCGAGTGGACGGACTCTGCTTGGCGCATAGTTAATGGTTGTTTAAAATTAATAAAGTGGCCAAGCAAGAGGAAATGGCAAAACAAACTTTGTTGTCGTTTCGATTTTCTCTTTGCTGCTGGCGAACAACTTTCAGCAAACTGTTCAAGTTACAAATGCATTTTTAATAAATGCTCTGATTTATGGGAGCTTTTGCGGCACTGGAAGAAAAAATATACAACTTATGCTAATAAAAGAATCATAAAGAATAACTATCAGGGGCCAATGTGATGGAAATTTTATACTACATTGCTAAGCACAAACTTTAAAAAATTCAAACAAAATTATTGTGTTGGTAATTAAGTTGGTTTTGAATATTTTTGTTATGTGTGTATACCTTTTTTTAGAATTCTTTAATTCTTTAAGACAAGTGTAAGCTATTGTAAATTATTTTCTTATTTCCATAAGTCCATTTTATAGTAAAATGACTTTGTATATTATTTCAGGTCGTTGTTTTATAAATTTAAGACACAAATAAGTATTCCTAAGTTGACGAATAATCACTGTCGCAACAGAAATAATTTGAAAATACAGATTCCAAGGCGATAATTTTAAACAAAACTCAGAAAACATTTTTATATTTTTACTTTTCTTTAGCCCACCCACATGGTCGACTCTAATAATTTTCAATTTTCCTATGATTTCCCCACATGCTGCGTTTGCCGGTTGACAGCCTGTTCATCATCGAACACATTTGCCACTTAGTGAGCAATTAGGTAGCCGAGTGTGCAGGGATCATTATAAATCAGCCAAATTCCCTTCCCGATGCGTTGGCCATCGGATTGGATTTGTGTGCCCGTGCCCAGAAAGTGCATTAGCCTTTGTCTAGGCGGAAGACCAACTCGGAGATGGGCGACATCCACCAGATCGAGACACGTAATCGTAGATGCCAAGAGAACTCAAATTCAGATACAGGGAGATACATTTGTTTCTGGTATTTTTAGCTGCCAACGCAGAGATGCTGTGAGTGAAAGGGAGATGGGGAGCAAAGTATCGTCTTATGATATTTTTAAACGATAAAAACGCTGCAGCGGCGGAGTCAAGTGCACCTAGTGCTGCGCTCTGCATTGGCATCAAGTGTCCGGGGGCAGTTGCAGTTGCAGACGTAGTTGCAGTTGCCCAAACATCGGACCAAATGAAGCCATTAGCCGGCGCGGAGTTGTGCTATAATTATAGACACACTCGCCGGGAGTTGGCTCCTCACTCCGGACTCCCCACTCGTGATCTCGAGTTTCACGGATCTCCCAGAACGAAGTTTTTTATATTCGGTGTCAATCTAATGTGCTGCAGGTCTGAAAGTAAATATTTGATGTTAAGTTGTATATTTTGATTAGCGCTATAAGTTTAACTTTAATACCTGCAAGATATTGTTACATTACAGAAAAACATAAAAGAGAATTAATTTATTTGTGCTTAACGATCAATATATAAAAAGTCCTTTAAAATACCTTAAAGAAAATAAATTCTTTAAAATAAATTACCTCGATTTTTTTTTTTTAATTTGGCTTGAGCCTGAGATAATTATATAAATTATTTATATATGTTCAATATCTGTAGGGTTATATTTTTTAGATTTACCCGATTTTTCTTAGCCAAAATTGAATAAGGATTATTTCATTATTTATTTTATGAGAGGAGGGTCAATTATTGCCATAGGCTTTAGGTTATGAGTCGCATTCGCGTTTTTCAAGAAAAGTTGCCAAAGTTGCAAGTGTCTCTGCGGCTTGGGGATTCCCGTCACGATTTAGCATTTTTCATCAGCTCAGCGATTTTCATGTCACGTTCGCGCTGACAAAGTTTTGCGCCCCGAAACCTTTGCCCTTATACTTACAACTTGTGCTTATCCTGGCGCGAAGTTTTCGCGTCTCCTGCGGCCATATAACTACTATACTGTACTATATATACGTATTTATATAGGTATAATTCCGGTATTTGCTCCATCTTGCATGTAGTTTGTTTGTTTGCTGTTGCAAAGTTTGTCAGCATGATGTTTAATTGTTATTTTGTGTCCCTCAATGTGTATTTGTGAGCGTATGGCGCAACTTAAGGCTGTCTGATTTCATTTCAAAGTTGTTCACCAAAAGTTGTCAGCTGTCTGAATGGCATAACTTCGGCTCAGATTAAGTCATTCAAAGGCTCTTAAAGTTTCCCAACTATTCCGCTTTATTTAATTTGTATTTATATACTCGGGTGTAATTTAAATTTGGGTGTTATTTTCAATATTTAAATAACAATGTTATTTGTTTTTGAGTGAAAATTAGTGTCTGTATTTTGTTTTCATATATATTTTCTAGCTCATTATAAACATTTAATTATATTCCGAAAGTTTAATTATATT